TAAGAACATTTTACATCAAAAATATATATCATGATAAAATTTGAAGGTGCACCTTACCTCTACAACGACAGATGTATCTGTGTGCCAACTGCACCCAAAAAAGAAAATATACCAAAGAAAAACTAACATTCATAAAAAAAAACCCATAAAAGCCCAATTAAGAAACTGAGATTTAGATAATGAGAATGCCAACTTAACCCATAAAAATAAAAATAAAAGGAAGGAATATTTATTAAAAAACCAGAATATAAGTGCAGTTATTTTTCAACATTTTGCATTTTTGGTTCAAAATTTAAATGGCTTGTACAAAATATAAAATATTTTGATTCATTTTTAATGGATTTTACAAAATATAAAAGCCCTTGCAAGTTTCATTTAAAAACCAAAAGTTCAGATTTTTTTTGGTACCAAATAAATTTCGTTCTTTTTTTCTACTATTTTTTGGATTTATCTTTTAAGGGCTTTTACAAATTTCAATCGTAAAAACCCTTACAAGTCGCAATATTAAAAGTTATAAGCACGTATGTAAAAAGCAAAAAGAAAATAAAAGAAAATAAAAAGCAAGGTATCTTATGTTTTTTTATTTTATATTTCTAGGTAATCTTTAGGGTTTTTACAAATTATAAAAGACCTTTAGAATAACCTAAAATTGCAACCAAAGATGAAAAAGATATTCTATAATTATAAAACCCTAATTTCCCAAAGCCACGAAGGAAAAACCATAATGTTCTCATTTGTTTTTGTATTTTCTAAATTAAACTAGTAAATATTAAATTAAATAAAAAAAAACCCATATGAAGCTTGGTTGATATCTTGCGGGAAATTCGTAAAAAAAAATCTTGAAGTCAGGCTTTGGTGGTTTGGAGACAGAGAGAGTCGGTCTTTAGTGGTTTTTTGGGGGGGGGGCCGGGGAGAGAGAGATGGAGAGAGTGAGGAGTGAACAAGAGGTCGAACCGAAGTACTTTGAAATTGGGCTTTCAAAGACATACCCCAAATTGACCTTGACCCTATCAAACAACCCCACAATTTAAAAAAAACCAAAAAAAAAGGAAAAAGAAGTAAAAAATAGTTCGATGTTAAGAATGAGCAAGAATGTGACCTCAGCATAAATATCTGGAAAATATGAATCCTTGCATAATACAAGAAGTATTTCCGATCTAAGTGTTATTTTCCCTAATTTTCATCCAAATCCCGCATCGGTTAGGCTTTTGGAGGGAGGACGCATATAAACAGGTGCGTTGGCTGGTGCAACAAAAGTACTGTCAGGGAAAATCCGGAATAATACGTCACGGTAAGAATTGCGTTAATGGCAATTTTGGGACAGGGAGAATCCAATAATGTTGCGCTGCAATTCCACTCTCTCACTTGATGCCGCTGCTCTCTGCATATCCCTTCCGTTGTTACCCTACCAGGTAACCCAACCTCTCTCTCTCTATCTCTCTCTAAGAGTAGGTTGTGGATGAGTGTTAGACGACAATGCAGTATGCTGTCGAAATTCACATGACCCACCGTGTTACTTCACCTTCTAATTCTTTGGTAATATTTAAAATGGCTTTTGGATTTTTAATGGGGAACTTTCTCCCTGTTGCAGGTGTGAGATGGGTAGGGGATTTTCACGTCTGCAATGGAAGAAACAAGCTCAGCTAAGATTATGCAATGTTTCCGGGTAAGAATCTCAAAACCCAGTCAGTTTTTCCCTACATTTAACTATTGAGTTACTTATTATCATTTTTAATTCAACATAATCATCTTCACTCCAATGTAGAGTGAGAAGAGCCCTTTTTGGTTTTTCTTTTTTAATTAAACTGATGTACCTGCAGATTTATAACTGAACTGATTGAGGTGCACTGTGATCGCCCTTTGTTGCATGTCCTCTTCATCCCAGGAAATCCAGGTCCTTTTTTGTGACTATTCACAGAAACCTAAAAATCTTTAACTACAAAGTAAATACAAGCCAGAATACGCATAATACATGCAATAATACGCATACATGAATGCATGCATAAATACATATATACATCCATGCATAGTTTACATAACTGCATACATGAACACAACTTATGTATGTTGTGTATGTGAGTATATACACATGTATATTTGTATGCGTGCATGTATGTTCTTGTATATATAGGAATTGTGCATGTCCACGCATACATTTGTGTGTACGTTCATATTTCTTTATGTATATCTTTTTTTAGATCCGGAAAGTGGAGATTTTATTGTAATTGTTGTGTTTTCTTATTGGGACACTATGTAATTCCAATCCCTAACTTATTGTACTAAATGATTTATTTTAGGAGTTGTTTCTTTCTACAAAGAGTTTGTGGAAGCGATATATGGGCAGCTTGATGAAAAGGCTTCCATCACAGGCAAGATATGGGTATCCATACATACTTGCCCACATTTATCATGGTACCTTTTATTGTATTTGTGAGTATGAAGTTACTAATTTGTTGTTGCTTTTCTCTTTGTTCATTTTCAGCAATAGGGCACATTTCTCATACAGAAAAGGTAATTTCTTTGCTGTATAGTGATGAAATAAATGACTACTTTATGAAATTTGATGCATATTTGTCAAGTACTATAAAATTGCACATTGGATGAAGTTATTATTCTGGTTTGTTTAGTGGAGTTAGTTAGCAGGTGATGTGAATGAAATTATCAATGGAACTCTTTATATTTTTTTCATTGTACCTACAGAACCAATACTGCAAGCTGCTATAATGCAGCCTATCAAACTAAATGACATGGTTGAATTGTGCCTTGGTTTTGGGCGTATTTGTACAAAATCAAGCTTATGATATAATTTAGTAACCTATAAAGTCATAGACAATATGCAAAATGGCAAATAATGTACTTTATTAGAACTGCTCTCTCTCTCTCTCTCTCTCTC